GGCCGGCCAGAAAAGATCAGCAACAGGAAAGGATCTCTGGGAGCGAACCAACCAGGAACCGATTGTGCAACAAATAGGTAGGAAGAAATGGAGATGGATTGGCTGGCCATACTCTGAGGAAACCATCAAGTGACATCACTAGACAAGCCATTGCTCGAGTGGAACCCGAAAGGGACGCGGCGAGTTGGTCGTCAGTGCAAGGGTGATTTGGAGGAGGTCATGTGAAGAGGAGATGAAAACGTGTGGGCAGACTTGGAGCCAAGTAAAGACTCTAGCAGAGAACCGAAAGCAATGGAGACGTTTGGCTGAAGCCCTGTGTTCCTCTAGGAATTAAAGGAAACAATAATAATAATGTAAATAATGTGCGTCATGGAATAACCTGAGTAAATGGGAAGCACGACTCTCATTGTTGCACACTATAAATATGTCATCGACATATCGACAGTAAGAAAGTTGTTTAGTCGATTGCATGCTTAAACTTTGTTCTTTCAGGGTTGGACATGAATATATCTGCTAAAACAGGGCTAAGTGGACTGCCCATAGCTACACGATCTATTTGTCGGTAAAGAGTGTTGTCATATTGGAATTGCACATACACGGTACACATTAGCAGTAGGTGTTTGAATTCCGACTCTGGGAGTGGGAGAAGATCAGACTGCTGACAAATGATCTCAGTAGTTTCATTGATTGGAATCATTGTGAACAAGGAGGTTGCATCAAATGACACCATGAACTTATTTAAAACGTTCATGCGGTTCACACTTTCAGAGAAATGAAATGAGTCTTTCATGGTGTGCACTTCTAGCCGTCAACGAATAGGTTCCAACTTCTCCGTAAGCCGATGTGCAACCTTATGTTGGGGCAAGTTGATCATCGAAAGTATAAGTCTCAGGGGGACTTGTTTTTTGTGTATCTTCGGAAGGCCATACACATGTGTGGCAAGCGGGACCCTCGGGGTTTTCTGTAGATATATTTAATAATGTCTTTGGCCTGTAAGCAGCTGATGAGAAGCCAACGAAATAAATGACGGTACCACTTTATTTTGCATAAACTGTTGATCTTGCTTTATTCAAATTCATGAAGGGGAATAAATGTATGAAAAAAGAAAATGCTTCGTTTACTCTCATTTCTCACTGTTTGCCAGTTAATTTGAGAAGAATTCAGAGAAGTGTTACCGTTGTTTTTTCAGCGACATTATTCTCAACATGTACAAACAACCACAACAAGGAACTCCGGTGACAAACCAACCAAAAATCTATCACCAAACAAGTAGACAGAAGGAAATGGAGATGGATTGGACATAACGTTGCGGAGACTATTGAATCGAACCCAAGTCAGGAACAGTGAGTTAGGCATCCGAGAGTGACATGGAAGAGATCATGTGGGGGAGGAAATGAAAGCTTACGGGTACTCGTAGATCCAGTTAAAAAGAAGCTTTAGAGAACAGAGTGAGATAGAGATGTGCTTCTGAAGCTCCACGGTCCACTTGGAACCTGAAGTGATAATAAATTATATATGTATATGTATATCACATTTTCACAGCAAAAAAGGAATGTTCTCAAAGATGTGTCATTAAAATTTTGAGTTCGCTATCAAAACGCATGATCAAACATTTACTCTCATGATTTTACAGAGGAGAAAATAGCCTCTTCTGCAGATCTGTTGCGGAAAACCAAGAGAACTTACAAAACAACTTCACAGTCATCTAGAGAATACACGACAAACTTGCCAATAGTGTATAAATCAAACTTCTTGAAATCACAGACGCCATGGCTATTCATATTTTAGATTTGTGGATGCGGTATACAGAAAAAAGTTTGTTCATTCACGGTATTTACAATAAACCTGATTTGTGTAAACATTTGACGTGTAGATTTTGTTTTTTTAGAATTTCACAATTCCCACTACTGAACTTCTTCTCCTTGTAATATTGATCTTCTTCCAATTTTTTGGTTGAACATTACTCAACCCTATCAATAGTGTTGCGTTAGTCAATTTACTTGCTTAGTTTTGCTTTAGTCTCTGCATGTTCACTACTTATGTATTACCTAATTTCTATTAGCATCTATCTTAATGCTTCTCTGAAGCTAGCTCGTAACATACTATACAGCACTACATGCTCAATAAGTCAATCTAAACTGGATAAATACCCTCTGTTGATGTTACCTCCAACTGTGTTTATAAATTTAAGGGCAACTGAGGTAGCAAGTACATTTGAAAGGACAGAAAGAAGCGCTTCTATCCGGTTTTCTGAGTATAAACCAAGAAATGTATGCCTGAAGTGAAACAGATATTCTCAGAGTGCAACTGTTCCCTGTGCAATTACCAAACACTTTGTGAATGCGAGGAATTTCGTTGAGATTTCCTAATCATTCAGAAAGCTAAATATACAAAGGACAGTAAATTTACTAGGATTTGTTGGAGCCAATGAAATCACACCTTTTCAAACAAAACTTATACATACAGAAAGAGAGAGTGAGACAAATCTTCCACTGCCTTGATAACTGCATTTTGATCGTGATTTCAGCTCACTGAACAAATTTCAAGACATATACATTGATGGTAGCTTGAACTAAAAAATTGTAATGCTTACATTTCAGATACGTTAATTTCTTAGAGGATTGTATTTCCTTTACTACCATTCAAACCTTGAAGTATGTTGTTTTAATTCTTATATAACTATTGTAGTTCCAGGTGGTCTGTAGTCAGCACCAACGGACTGATTGGTGACGAAATTTCAGCACGGATCCAAAAAGCTCGGGCTGCTTTCGCTAACTTACACCATCTCTAGCGTAGGCGTGACATCCGACTATCAACCAAGGGACGTGAATACTGCTCAGCAGTTCACTCCGTCCTTCTCTATGGCTCTGAAACATGGCCAATACGAGTTGAAGAAATGAAAAGGTTGACTGTTTTTGATCATAGATGTCTACGATCTCTTTCTCACGTTAGGTGGCATAATAAAGTAAGTAATGTTGGCGTTAGGCGTAGAGTGTTGAGCAAAGAGGGAAAATCAATCGACGAGGCCATAAAGTTACATAAATTGAGATGGTTAGGTCACGTGCTGCGCATGCCTAACCATCGCCTACTTCGACGGGCATTACTAGCTGATATAGGTGCAGGTTGGAAAAGAGTAAGTGGTGGCCAAACAAAAAACATGGCCTCATCAATCCATGAAATCCCTGACAGCTAAACCGAGTCAGGTAAGGAGATGCAGACTTCCGGGTTGGGGCCCTCGGGACTCTAAGAATCAATGGTTGGAGACAATAGGTGACATGGCTCAAAATCCTCGTTGTCAATGGCTTACGCAGATGTATTCAGTCTCCGTAATCTTTCATATTCCTTTCTACCATTACTCATTCTGTTTCACTCTTATACTTGTCAAAACTCTATTGATTCTCTTCACTCATTTTCCTGTCTACCTTTGTGTGGTATTTGGAACGTGGCAACTGGAACTGCTGCACTTCGGTGCGAAGTTCTATGTTGAATTCAGACAGACAAATGAGAACCTGTGAATTAGAAGGATATCATCATATTGTTATTGTTTCTTTTAGTTCCTAGAGAAACATAGGGCTTCAGCCGCACGTCTCCATTGCGTTAGGTTCTCTGCCAACGTTTTCATTGCCTGGCTCCACGTCTGCCCACATGCTTTCATCTCCTCTTCACATCACCTCCTCCTCCATGTCACCCCACCCTCGCACTGACGACCAACTACTCACCGCTTCCCATTCGGGTTCCACTCGAGCGATGACCTGACGTGTGATTTCACTCACTTGATGGTTTGTTTTCTCAGAGTATATGATCAATCCACCTCCATTTCTGCTGAGAATTTGATTTTTTCTACCTTCATAGAATATCTTGATCGTTGCCCAAAAACTTAAAATTCTAATCACACATTTTAAAAATTCAATTTAGACCAGACATCGTCGAAACATCTAAACGCGGAGCCGACATATGTCAATCTGAGACCAAGCACTTCGGTTCAATCAGTAGACGGGAAAATCTAAAATTCAATTAAATAATTAATATGACCCGTTGCACAAGAGGTGAATCTCGTGGCCCAAGTGGTCTAGTGCATAACGCTTTGGCGTTTGAAACTATGGGCACTGGGTTCGAGCCTCGGTGGGAACACCATCACTCACTGGGGAATGCAGGTACGTTCAGATGATGAGTTTCAGATAGAACGAAATGCGCGTATCCTGGATTCCACTGCTAGTCCATCACCATAATCCCCTTTTTGTTACCATGAGAAAGTGTAACTGTACAGTTTGAGAATGATATCGCCGAAAAAGGAGTGAACCTCATCTTTTATAAAGCGTCAATAAAATATAAACGCCAGCCAAAAAAATCCCACTGAACAAAAGTATATTATAAGAATAACAGGAAAACCAAAAGAAGGATAAACTAAGAATATTTAATTTTTAATTGCATAATTAGTTTATTCAATTGAAGAAAAATAAACACGCGAAAAATGCACGAAAGAACCCAAGACACAAAGAGAAGGAAAAAGGTTAAACATGAAAGACAAATAAAAAATTTTTTCAAAAAAAATATGGACGTAATCATCGTACGATTATCATCATCACAGACAAGACAAAACAAAACCAAAAAGGGGAAGGAATGTAGTGTGGAGAGGGTTGGGTGAGTGTACCGCCGTTAGAAAATATGCGGAAAAAAAAAATGATAATTGTTATTAAATGTATATATAATATATATCACAAAAATTACATGACAAACGAGTCAGTCACAGCTTCTTAATGATGATATCGATTTCATTATTTTGGTTTAGCAAAACCCAGAGGAGAGGAGTATTCAATATGTACAATGGTTAAGAAATAATAACAAAAAAAACAACAGAAAATTATATGGGAGAAAAAAATTAAATAAATGAAAGTAATTAATAATAATAATATTATTATTAGTGATATAATTATAATGTTTAATTCTGTTTTTTACTAACTTAACAAATCATCTATATCACCTTTAGATAACGGTTTAATAGAGGTTTGATTATAATTATTATTTATTGAATTTTGATTGGATAATAATTGTGAAGATGGCGTCAAGGGCATTGCCATCTGATTGGTCGACATAGGATAGAATGAATTATTATTATTATTATACTGTTGGACAGATTTGATTGGTGGAGATGTCATTGGGGTAAATGGTGCATAATTATTACTATTATTCTGATTGAAGGATAATGGAACTATTGCATTCGGTGACACTGTAGACGCCATGGTGTTTTGACCTTGAACAAAATTGTTTGAATAAGGTGAAGAAGCGTTAAAAACACCATTTTGTCCGTAGGTCAATTGTAGTGGTTGTTGCTGCTGCTGTTGAGGTTGAGGTGGTGTAATTAACGATAATGGGATCCCGGTACCTAAACGATTTGATCCTTTATTCAGTGTATTGCTATTATTATTATTATTGTTATTATTTAAAGCATTCAGATTATAAGTAATTAAAGAACTTGTAATATCAATTGGTTTTGGTTTATTATTATTATTATTATTCGTGGTTGTCAATTTCATTGGTCCAATAGAAGATTGTTGGCCTTGTTGTAATGGTGTGATACACTTCGATAACTGTTCAATTTGTTCTTGTTTAGCAGCTAACTGACGTTTTTGTTCTAAACTCAAATGAATATTATTACTATTATTATTGCTTTCATTAGTTGATAAACCATTTATTTGGTTAATAGGTGGTGATGATGATTTACTCTCGGGGCATGCAGATGGAGATGTATTGTTTGATAAAATACTTGACAATACTTCGTTATTGTTATTATTATTGTTACTGTTATTAGTTGGACCTGATTGTGAAGTATTTCCTTTAATATATTGGTCAGCATCATTCACATAGGCATGAATTATTCGAGTCATCTAGAAAGAGTTGACATGGAAATAAGAACAAACAAGTAAGTTCGTTTCGTATTAATTAAAGTTACTTTGTTTGTAGTTAATTCCATAAACAAAGCTTCCGTTATCAATCTCTCCCTCCACCCTGCTGTTATATTAGATTTTAAAACTGTCATTTTATCCTATCATCCCATTGTATGGTTGTGTGTAATTGCATGTAGTGAGTGCTATAGCTGAACTATTCTCTAGATTTCTTATCTTATTCGGATCAACTAATCTAGATTTTGCTGCTAGGTTTTTATGCTCGGCTAGTCTGACTGACCCTCTTTTACTACTTTGACCTATGTATTTGACCTGACAATCATTCCAGCAGGGTATTAGATAAACTAAATTGTTTTGTTTTAAAGGCTCCACAGGATCCTTTAACCGACAAAGCTTGTTTCTAATTGAGTTTGTGAGTGGTTTGAACGCAAGCCACTTTTATTACTGCCTGCATTGTTAACAACTCTGTGTAAGGTTTCCGACAATAAATCTAAATCATCAGTAGTAATTCCATACAAAGAAGGAACCTCGGAAACCTTACGCAGAATTCTTAACAATGCAGGAATAAAAGTGGCATTCAAACTCTCACCCTATTATACCACATAACACGGGAGATAGGACGCAGGTACCCATGATCAAAGACAGCTAGCCAGGCTTTTCATGTCCTCTACTCTCAATGGCCATGTTTCACAGCCAACCATAAGGGAGGACAGATCAAACTGCTGAGCAGTACACACGCCCTTTGATCGACACGCTCTATCAACCACTTCACTCCCTATTTCTAAGCTAGGAGTCAATGTAGTCCAGTCCCGTGACATCATCTTACATTTGGCGGGAGCGAATCGCATGCCAAACATTCATAGATTGCAGCGTGTCTAGTACTAGGTCCAAAGCTTCCTGCCGATTACCTCCAACCATCTAATATCAACAATTCAAAGTGCACCGTGATGGCGAACTACCTAGAATGGTGGTCACATTGCAAACCTGACTGATAAAATTCAGTCTGCACCAAAGAAAGGACTAGACACGTCATACTAGTTACTGACTAGTGTCCAATCGAAAGAAGCATTTACATGTATGTTCTCGTCAAATCAATTATAAGCCGACTACAGTCAGTATATACAGAGCAAGTGTCAAGTTGTTTATCTATAAACGTGATTTCAATACATATATATATGTATATGACCTAAGATGGATGAGTCATAGGGTCAAGAAAGGTCAACGCCTATTAAATAAATAATGTCATTTAGTAAACAACTATAAGAAAGCAAATTTTTATTTTCTGAAATTATGAAAAGATGCTTTTAGTTTTTAGTCATATTGAAATGAACACCATGAGAATTAAACAAAACGAAAAAAATTCATCAGTCTTCATGAAGAAAATAAAAGACAAATTCATCAGCGAAGAAAATTTTCTTTATCGACGAAATCATCTTCAGAGGCTGGCTGTACAGTTGTATTGGCCGCACAAAGCACACACTTTCCAAACGCATCTCTGAACATTATCCGGCATGGTTAGCAAAAGGACAATGCAAGACAGTTGGTTACTAGCTCAATTCTCGAGCATTTGGTGAACTCAAGCCACGTAGCTCCACCAGAGTCGTCTTTCAAGATCATCTACAAGGTGAGGCCAAATGGTACAAAGGGCGTCAGGTTTCGGCTTTTGTGTATGGCGGAGGCGTTGGCAATTCGTCAATACAACCCCGAACTCTGTATACAGAAAACGTTTGTCCAGTCTCTTATTCTACCTTGGTCTTAACCTCTTCACTAGTCGTTCCCTGTAAAAAATTTTATTTTTTCCTATTTTTAATTTTACTTTTAGTTTGCTTTTGCTTTAATAATTAATTCACTATTATCACTCTCATATGTTCCCTGTTGTACATTTTCATACCCTCATCACACTTGTAAAACTGACACTCAACTACCACCTCTATTCTTACTCAATAGCAATTTTAACCTTATCAAATTTCTATCTTTGTGCCGTTGAGTACCACGTAATTTACAACTTTTAATTTTTTACTTCTAAAGCCACTTCCGAATAATTATATCAATTATATTACCTACCCCAGTTGTATTACGGCTGTACAGCCTGTGAAGATGATTTCGTTGATAAAGAAAATTTTCTTCATGACTCAATGGGTATTTTCGATGATTCATCAGTCTTCCCTTGCCCCACCCTGGTAACTGGGTGCCTTTATTCCCCATTCCTTTCATTTGATTATGTAATATTTGGCTTTAACCTCATCCTACCCCTCTTTGATTATATAGATTAATTCTGTTTGTCTTTTGTTTCCATGGTTTGAGTTGAACGACTCACATACAAAGATTGAATTTACTATGGAACATAAAAATGATGGAGAGTTCCATTTCCTTGACATTGGCAGGCAATGCCTAAAAGATGGTGGTGGTCTCCAGAGGTCAATTTACTGAAAGCCCACATGAAATGGACAATACCTACGTTAGAATAGTTTTTGTCCAAACAGCTTTAAACGAGCACTAGAAGAATGTGCTCTACAGAGAAATTAGAGGAAGAATTTATGTTTCTCAAAAAGATGTTGAAAAGCAACGGTTACACTCAGAGATTCATTAACAAGTACGGGAGATGTGAAGGGTCAAATGTCAAACACATCACAGTGGGGTAATGGCCTGTCTTCATTCAACTTGATTCTAAAAGTGAAAATATTGAGACAATAGTCAACACAGTATTATTTACTGGATGACGTTTCGAACAAAATTTATTGTTCATAATCATATCAATTATAATCACACGACTTTGACACTTGAGTTTTATAGTACTATAAAACTCAAGTGTCAAAGTCGTGTGATTATAATTGATATGATTATGAAGAATAAATTTTGTTCGAAACGTCATCCAGTAAATAATACTGTTTCACTGTGTGATATATCAAATAAACAAAATAATATGGAATTACTTACTACCACAGTGCCCAAGTTTTACACATATATTAATAGTCAACACAACCTATCCTGCAGCTAAGTTGGTTCGCGTCTATCGAACAACATGCTCTTTGGTACAATCAAAAATCGACAGACATCCTTCTCATGTTAACTCAAACTATGTACACAAATTCGCATGTATCTCAGGGAGCGGCTACATTGGAAGAACAGAAAGAAGGGCACACCTCAGATTTTCTGAACATATACTGAAAAGCCTACGTTTCAAGGGAACAAACGCCAAACAATAGTGCCATTATCAGGCATCCTCTTGATACGGGTCATGAGGTGGAAATCACAAAATCCTTTAAAATTATCAATAGACAAATTAGTTCAATTCTCCTCAAGTTTGCTGAGACAGTCTCTGTCAAACGCTTGAAACCAGATTTATGTGTTCAGAAAGAAGCAGTTATTAGTCTTTCCTTGCCCCACCCTGGTAACTGCATATCTTTATTCTCCATCCCTTTCATTTGATTACGCAATCTTTGGTTTTGACCTCAACCCCCCTCACTTTGATATAGCGTCATTTCGCTTGCTTCTTTCTATGATTTGAGTTGAGCTAAGTACATTGTTACCCAATTTATTAGTTACTCATCCATCATCTTACGCACTTCTGGTCTTTATTACATAACTCCTTTACCACTGTATGAATGCATTTACTTTGTTTAAACTAGAAATATCTGTGTAAAAACTATAGAAGTGCAATTTTCTGAGCACTGTTCATTAAGTCCGGGACCTCCTGTCAACTGACATCATGTAAAATTTGAAAGTATGTCAAAATTGTTTGTGTATATACTTAATAATAATTTATTAAGGCTGTAAGGAGCTGGGCTGATGAGAAGCCAACGAACGAAATAAACCAGGATGGTACCATATTCTTATTCTGCACAAACTACTGTTGTGTTCTTGTTTTATTCGAAAAGAATTCAACTGAGATGTTCGATGATATAGTGTTAAGAAATAAGTGGGTGAGTACTGCCGATGATTCTCAAACTAGTGGGATGAAACAGCTGTCCAGTACTCCCCTGCTGGTTTTCAATGGTTCTCTAACTGATATCAGTCTGTGGTCAAACTCAAAAAAGAAATTCAAAAACAAAAACAACTATAATGAGCAGAAATGTGAGGGGAAAGAACAACAATAGACTTTTATTGGATATCACAAAGAGTAGAATGCATCTGCGCCAGCCAATTGACAACAAGGATTTTCAGCCATATCACCAATTGTCTCTAGCATTCATTGGTTCTTACCATCTCGAGGACCCCTACTAGTCAGGAAGCCAATCTACACCTCCTGAAGTGGCCCGCTTAAACTAAGTGATGAAGCCATGTTTTGGTTCGACCACTACTACTATGTCAGCTAACAATGCCCGTCAAGGAAGGCAAGGCTTAGGTGATACCATCTCAATCGATTCACCTTTAAAACTTTATCGATTAATTTTTCCTCCTTACATAACAATACTTGGTGCCTAATCTCAATATTACTCACCCTATTACACCTATTGTGGTGAGAGCTGTCTACTAGCCAAATTGGTAGACAGTAATTTACGTCAATATTTACGTTCCCAAGATTTGTCGTGCGAAACAACCAATCGGAAGACTGTGTTTGTTTGTTTACATATCCATAGTAATGTACATGAAAACACATATAAATATGCGTTAATTTCCTTAATAAATGATCTGTTGCCTGACTCTTGCCTTATGTCGTTACAATTGGTGTCACTGCCTACCGACAAATGGAAAGCCTATGCCCTGCAGTTTTTGATGAAGACATATGGATCTTCGGGCAGGACTTCGAGGCTTCTTCGCAGTTGAGTGGCGTTCAAGATCTGTCAGCGATGAGGCTGCTACTTGGGACGCTGCTAGGAGGTCGGGAGAAAACAGCGTATGAAAGTGTGAGCCAAAATACCTACGAATGAGCGGCAGGGTCAGGCAAACAGTTTCCAAAACGGGAAGGACCATACACAGTCACAAAAAGACGGGGTCAAGTATATACCATCAGAAGAGGTGACAAACAAAAACGAGTTAACGCCAGTCAGATCCAACGATGGGTGCATTGGGACAAGCCGGTCTGTAACAATCATCAACGAGAGGATGCATCACCCAGAAGGTCGGAACGCCTGCGCGCGAAGCTATTTGAGGGGGGGACGAGTGTAGTGAGAGCTGTCTACTAGCCAAATTGGTAGACATTAATTTACGTCAATATTTACGTTCCCAAGATTTGTCGTGCGAAACAACCAATCGGAAGACTGTGTTTGTTTGTTTACATATCCATAGTAATGTACATGAAAACACATATAAATATGCGTTAATTTCCTTAATAAATGATCTGTTGCCTGACTCTTGCCTTCTGTCGTTACACTATCACTTAACATAGGAGATAGAACGCGTTAATCTCCCCCCTCCCCCCCCTTTGGGTCGCTATTGTTTAACTTTGCCAATATAGTTAGTTAGTTAGTTATATAACAAACTTACCAAATCTGAACAAGAATTTGATGAATTCCACATACTTTCATCTAGATTACCAATTCTCAGCATACTAGAATTAATATAAAAGACAAAACAAAAAAATTAAATAATTTTTTTAAATGATAATAAACTTTAATTTTCTGTTTATAGTTCATATTATCAACGATAGGTGATTACGAAATGACTGCAGTTAAAGAACCACCGCAGACCAGATAGTATTCAACAGCTATTTCGTCATAGTTCAGGTCTCTTCAGCGGTATGTGCCCACGACCATACCGGAAGTCAAATCGAGGATATGTAGGTTATACGGCAAGGCCAACTGACTATTCAGCCACTGGTTTATGAATCCTAACTTCTACCAGTTTGCGATATATATTACACAACCGTCAGTCAATGCCATCCATCGCTGGCGAGTATTTGTCCCTCACACCCAACCAATTTGGTAGAACCTACTGGTCAAGACTTCTCACTGGAACTCTAGGCAGCTTCGTCCTGTTGTCAACCACTAGCAAACATTTGGTTTCAAGAGAATCGAACACTTACGCTAGCCTTTTTCAAAACCAGAACTGCATACAAACAATCTCATCCTGTGGCATAACCACACCGATATCTTAAATGCCTAAGTTGGGGTTTAACCGTTGCTCCACACTTACTCCACACCAAGCATCAGAATCGATGACCTTCACAAGGCAAAGTGGATTCTCACCGAGGCTTGTGGTGACGGTACTGTTACACAACGAGTTGATAAAGTTAGAATTCTGGGGTCATAGAAATGACTCATCACTCATACCAGGGATATGGAAGATATTATTACCAACAGTCAGTCAAATCAGAAGAGGATGATAAATAATCTTAAATTGTATTCTATTTCAATTCAATTCAAGCACATCACAACATTCTAACAAGTTACTTAATTTTGACCATAAAAACACTCGTCTTATTTCCCATCTAATTGTAATTGATCAATAACACTCATATTATTATATCTGAATGTACATTATCCTATACTGATTTTATTCAAATGTGTAATCATCAATTTTTACTCATGTATATAAATGAAGCAAAAAAGTTATGTGAGTTAGCAGCTTGATATGATTATGAGTGGCAATAATTTTTGCTCGAAACGTGGTCATCAGGGAATATTACTTACTGCACAACACTGCGATTTATCAAAGTAAAATTTTATCCATTATGGAATTATACTCTACCATAGTGCCCCAGTTTTATCTTTATATCTCTAACGGTATTGTTTACTCTGGCAAGTATTTACAACCTGCTGATTCGCCAGTTTCTACTAAACTTCAAGAAAAGCCTATTCGTGGGAGTCACAATATCCTAATTCATGAAACAACTATTACTGAATTGCATGGAGGATTTCATCATGAACTGACATGAATATTCCTAAATGATATCACTAGGTCTCAAAATGTACTGCTGAACTGGTAACAATTGGCTTTCAACCATTTAATGCCGTGTATTTCTCAAAGGAGACAAAAAAGGATTATTATAATGGATTAGTTTACACTTCAAGTCAGATGGCACTGTTGTTTCACAGGATCTACTGTCAATTAATCTTTCATTTGAAGATTCTACACCAAGAGAAAATATCATGCAACAAACTCCGCTGAAAATTCTGTACATTATATAAACACTGTCTAGAATAAAGCTATTATTGTTATTATTATTATTGTCTGACAATAGTGGTACTCATCTACTCATTTCAATCAAACAGTAGTATATACGCGACCTTGCAATTATGCTAACTTTCTTGATTACAATTCATAGTATCAAGCAGATCAATAGCATATTTTGATCTTAGTACTTTTTGGTTTTCAAAAAAGCTGTATTGTATTCTAGTAATCGAGTCATATTCGGCCAATTCTACTTCCGTAACCTTAAATACAGTTCAAGAAATGGTCACAAGCATATTTTTCAACATGTTTACGACTCTAATCAAGTCATATATATGTGTATATATACACTGGACACTAGTTAGTAACTAACGTCATTCTATCAGTCAAGTTTGCAATGCGACCAACAGGCTAGGTGGCTGGCTCGCTATAACACTGCACTCCGAATTGTGGTTATCAGATAGTTTGAGGTAGAATCAAAAGGAGAACTTTGACCCAGGTCTTGTGGTTATCGGTACTCGTCAGCAGGATGCATCTGTAATCTTGGAGAAACCTTCATGATTGTAGAGATGTCTTAAAATGACGAGTAACCAAACAAGCACGAAACCTGGATCCACAACATCTTGGAGATTCCCTTCAACCATCTAACAACAGTTCATATGAACAGCTGCCTTCGCTTCATTCTGAAGATCAAGTGGTCAACCGGTTAGAAAGAATTAGCAACAAGAAACTCTGGCGATGAAAACACCTGTTCGTCTGTCTGTCTGTTTTCGACATAGAACTTTGCAAAGATGTGCAGCAGTTCAAGTCACCACACTCCACTCCATCTAGCATACAAAGCAAGAGAAGAAAGTAGAAGAAATGGATAATAGAGACAGTAGACAGGGATATGAAACAAGAGGAATAGTAATAACCAACACTGGCCGTTTTCCAACCTGATCAATCCTATGTCAGCTAACATTGCCCGTCAAGGGAGGCGATGACTAGGCATACGTAACACATATCCTTACCATCTCAGTCGATGTAATTTCAAAGCCTCGTCGATTGATTTCCCCTCTTTACCTAGCACTCGACGCCTAACCTCAATATTACTCACCATATTATACCATTTCATACGGGAGATAGAAGGCAGACACCTATGATCAAAAATAGCTAGCTAACCGGCCTTTTCATGTCTTACACTCTCAATGACAATGTCTCACAGCCATAAAGGAGGACGGAGCCGACTGCTGAGCACACTCCCATTGGTCGACCACCAGCCGGATATGACGTCTACTAAGCGAGAGACACCGTAAACTGACATATACGAAATGAACCTTCTGTATCCGTGCTGAGATTTCGTCAGCGATCAACCGTCTGGCGCTGGCTGATGCAACTTCCTAAATAAGTGAAGCGGTCTACACGCTCTATCAAACACCACTCCCTATTTCTAAGCTAGGAGTCAATCAAGTCCAGTTCAGTCCTGTAGCATCATTTTACATTAGGAGGGAGCGAATCGCATGCCAAATATCCTCAGAGTGCAGCTCAAGGTGTTCAGAAGACTGTGCTGTATTTTGTCAACGTCTTCACTTAGGAGAGAGGACTATATCATCTACATATCATAAGTCAATGAGATTATTCCCTGGTAACAAGTTAATCCCTGGGTCTGTGAAATGAACAAACCAACTAAGAGCCGATCGCTCAACAAATTTGTAGGAGAAAATGGAGATGGATTGATCCGGCATACGTTGAAGAGGCCGTCGAATGAGATCACGCGCATCGTAGATCATCGCTCGAGTGGAATTCGAATGGGAAGTGACGAGTGGGTCGTTGGTGCGAGGATGACATGGGGGAGATCATGTGAAGAAGAGATGAGAGAGTTCGAGCAATCATGGTGCAAGCTGGAGAGGATGGCAGAAAACAGAACAAAGTCGGGATATGTTGTTGAAACCCTATGATCCACTAGGAACCCAAAGAAACAATAATAATAATAAAAAAAATCAATGATTTCCCACTATATCTTACCTGTTTTCATCAGTTGCACCGTGTAACTGTTCCAATTTGCTGAATTGTTCCCTTTCCAAGTGTTTACACATATCTTGTATCAACGATGCATAGGCACTGTATTGTTTTAAATTTAGACTGCTTTCAATTGATAATGGGATGAGATGAGGTAGAACTTTGGTTGCTAATTTCTCTCGACTTATACCCAATTTTTCATGACTAAAGGCTAAACGATATATACCTGGATAAATATATAGAAAAAAACAAGAAAGAAAATGATTTGAAATAATCCCAGTGGTGTTAGAAGTTCGCCCACAGTCCGCAGCATCCAAAATTCAGCCAAGCCAAACTGGTTGTTACGCAGCTGATGAGCTCATCGCCCAAACAAGGAAAATGACCGGCCTGTGTTTAGATCGCTTCCATCTGCCGCTGGCTAGCAACTGCTCCTGGTTTGTTGATGTCAGTGTTATACAACTACTCATCTCCTCAATCAATTAAGTAGTATATAGTGAGTATTAAATATAATCCTAATGTTTTGATTGGACACTAGTGAGTAACTAGTGTGATGTGTCTAGTCCTTTCTTTGATGCAGATTGAATTCTATCAGTCAGGTTTGCAATGTGGCCAACATGCGACTAGGTAGCTCGCCATCACGGTGCACACATTGATTTGATGATATTAGATGGTTGGAAGCAATCGGCCACGGGAAGCCTTACCCGACCTAGGTTTCGTGGTAGTTGGAACTCACCATCAGTCGGCAAGACGTATCTGCAACCTTAAAGAAACCTTCTGAGACTCGAACCCGCGTCACCCCGTGAGTGCTGCAGTCAGAGACGTTACCACTGAGCTATTCGAGCTTGCGATTGACATCCTGTAGGACGGATTGTATTGGATACTTTGATTGGAAACTAGTCAGTGACTAGTGTAGTGTGTCTAGTCCTGGAGGTCCAAGGCTTCCTATAGTCGATTGCCTCCAACCATCTAATATCAACAATTCACAGTGCACCGTGATGGCGAGCCACCTAGCATGGTGGCCACATAGCAAACATGACTGATAGAATTCTGTCTGCATCAAAGAATGGAATAGACACACACTACACTAGTTACTTGTGTCCAATCAAGATACTCACTACAGTCCTACAAGAGGTCAATCGCGAGCCCGAATAGCTCAGTGGTAACGTCTTTGACTGCAGCACTCACTAGGTGACGCCGGTTCGAATGTCAGAAGGGATGAGATGAGTTCTTTCAAGTTTGCAGATACGCCTTGCTGGCTGCCTGGTGAGTGCCAACTAGCACGAAACTTAGGTCAGGCAAGGCTTCTTGTGGCCGATTGCCTCTAACCATCTAAAAAATCCTAGTGTATTCAAAAAATCAATTAAACAAGGTAGTTCCGAATGTTTCGCTGTATAAGTCACAGATTCTTCAGGTAAGTTACTTCGATTTTATCAAACAACAATATATAAATATGTGAAGTTTGATCGCGAATTGATTTCAGTTAGAGAACCATTGAAAATCAATCAGCATGGAGGACTGGACAGTTGTTTCGTCATGATTCGGTACTCTTCAGCAAGTACGCACTGACAACCGAATACACAACCTTCATGTTACGAGATAATAATAATAATAATTTGCTTTATTCCAAAACAGTACATGTGATACAGAATGGAATTATCAGCATTTTTACTACAGTATTGCATTCAGTTAGTACATTATCAATAAATAGAATTCTACATAGATTGAGGAAACCACAGTTCATTATTAAAACAATACATTGGCATGTCAGTAGCAAAGGTAAAGCTGAAACAGTGTTTGAAGGTGTTAAAAAAGTGGGAGATGTCTTATTAACAGGCGTAAGCGAGAGAGAGAGACAAAGCAGCACATAACGGAAAAAAGGGAGAGAGAGAAAAGGAAAAGAAAGAAAGAAAATGTTGTACCTATTGATGATGTGAGTTGGAAAGACGAGATCCAGTTGCACTACTGACTATTTAATGAATTATAGGTGTCACGCCTAATGCTTTCTTTATCAAGCTGCTTGACCATTCAGTCACTTTGTCCGGAATTTAATGACCCATGAACTCTAATTTCTGTCTTTCTCTGGCCTCATAACCTGAATGTTGTGGGTGCACAACTGTTGAGGAGTCCGCAAGCTGGACGAGGCGGATTGATAGGAATAGGCCTAAAAAATAATAATCACCTTATAATTCATCGTGTGATCAGGTGATCGTAAAATTTCATCATCGTTTTCTTACACTTTGGTCTTGGTCAAATTGCCAAACAATCAGAATATTTTGTTTTTCGCCGATGTAGCCGAATAGCTTACCAATCAAAACAATCTGTTTTTGATGTTGTTGTGCTCTCTCAGCTAGCTGGGTGGTTTATTTGTGAAGCTTTCATTGCCTCACCACCCACTACGCAACATCTTCAGCGCATACTTCAATTTCATGAAGTTAATAATACTGTTTCACTGTGCGATATATCTAATAAACAAACTGATATGGAATTCATGGAGTGAGCTTTTAGATTTCTCCATGAGTTTATTAGTCATCTCTCTTGGTGACTTGACCTTGAGCGTAATTGAATGTTTTGTGTGTTTTCATATCCTGTAGGCTACTTGTATTGGTATTGATGTTGATTGTTTCCTTGACCTGAAGTTCGAGCCTGCATACAGACAACCACGAACATCAATTCGACTGGAACAACCAACGTTCAAGTATTAGACAGAGAAAAAAAAACACCAAGAATGCTAGAGAATTCTTAGACACCAGCCTGATATTCCAGTGAATCGTCAATCAATAGACACATTGACATAGACAAAATTTACCAATCGATAAGAAGGAAACCTCACACACAAAGGGTCAAAGTTCAAGTCAAAGAAACAATCAGTTTCAATACAAGTAGCCCAGAGGGTACGAGAACACACAAAATCATCCAGTCACGTTCAAGGTTGCATCACCAGTAGAGGTGACTAATAAAGTCGGAGAAATACTGTGTGGTTTTCAAGCTATAGTCAAAAAAAATATTAAAAATTAAAATCTAAAAGCTCATTTCAACAAGTTGAATTATGCGCTGAAGATGTTGCCTGGTTGGGCAATAACGAAAGCTTCACAAATAAACCATCCAGATAGCTCAGAGAACACAACTACATCAAAATCTTCCACCTGAGTTACAAATCTTCTACATCATATCTAGGACAATCTATTTCCACCATACCTTACGCCGACTTAAATGTAGTTAATATATGTATATGTCTCCTAATAAAACTGCTTCCTAACAGTCATACAGCCGAGTCTTTATCTTTTGATATTTCCATGGCTCACTGAAGCGTAAGGTACCACGGATGAATAGGTGTATCTATCCAGCATACCAGTGGAGTTGTTCATTTTTTTTATTCCCTTACCTTCCCAGTGGTACATAGGGCTTCAAGCTAGAAGCTTGAAGTTTCTGTAGCAGTGGTGCTTATTTTACGGGATGGAGTTGCTAGCTTCATGCCCAATATTTCTTCCTTAAGAGTCTTACTACTGGTTTGGCAAGGTAAAGAAGTGCGTCGGCCGGGGATCGAACCCCGGACCACAAACGTGGTTGGCCAGAATTCCTACCGCTGTGCCAAAATCGCACCTGTTGTTATTCATTGCATCAGTATTATTATTATACCTAGACGCGTAAGTCCACTAGGGTATATCAATTGTCGATGCGATCATACCAATTTGGTGACGAGTTCGTTTCAACGGGTGACATAAATCATAACAGTTGTCCAGTATTCCGTAATGGTTTTCAGTGGTCCCCCACCCCCCACCCCAACTGACATTAATCTGTGATCAAGTTTGAAATAGATCATAAACCTAAAGATTATTTGAAAACAACGTATATATACATGCATTGAAAATGAATTCAACTTGTCCGAAGGTCACTTGTAGGTAAATAGAATCAAGTGAGTAAATGAAATTAGTGATCACACACACACATTATCGATTTGTTATTGTCAAGTTGTCACAATGTGTGTGTGTATGTATATTTATACCACTACCTGTATATGTGCGTTATTTATATTGTACAGACAACAGACTGATTCATAAGTGCATAATTATGGATATGACTTAGAGGCTAAATATTTATATATTAATGACAAATCGCATTTATCTGCTTTGTTTAATTATGCTACTTAGCTAGACAACAGGTTGAAGTATGCGAACGATACAGAGGTTATAGCTTTCTTCCATTTTTCAAGTATTGGTTTGTAAGGAGTTTGTTTGATTAGTTGAAGGATTTCATTGTGAGCTGACATCGGTTAGAGAACCATTGGAAAACCACCACCATCAGGAAGTACTGGACAGTTGCTTCGTCCTGCTGTGAGACTCTTCATCAGAACGCACAAAAAGGTCCTGGATCCGAACCCTGGTGGGTGCGTGCCGATGAAGAGTCCCAAATTAGGACGAAACAGCATTCTTCTCTATGTCACCAAAACAAAAAATCAATTTTATAATCCACATTCATAGACTTCAGTAAAGCCTTTGATAAAGTTCCTCACAAAAGACTACTCATGAAGTTGAAAAGTCTTGGTATCAAAGGCAGATTTCTAAACTGGCTCAGGGAATTCCGCATAGATAGGATGCAGAAGGTTAGGATCAACTCAAAACCCTCCTCCTGGACAACAGTGAGTAGCAGAGTGGATACAAGGCACGGTACTCGGACCTCTCCTATTTATTTTGTATATCAATGAGTTATCTCTGCTCACCGATTACCCTACGCAGATGACTTAAAAATTTGGAGAGAGCTGAAGGGCGACAGTGATACGCTCATGCTGCAAGAAAACCCCAAAAAATTGTCAGAGTGGTCCATAGAATGGATTCTCCCGATCAACGTGGCAAAATGTGCAATCATGCGCATTGGACAAGCAAGCACCAGCTCCTACGAACTAGAGGGAATAACACTTCCATCAGTTCAGACTCACTTGGACTTAGGTGTCATAGTTAGCCACGACTTAAAAACTACAGCACACTGTCGCGCGGTGGCTGCACGTAGTTTCAGATCCTTATGGGCAATTCACAGAGTCTTTACTAGAATCACCAGAGATATGTTCACCTCTTTATATACATCTCTGGTGAGATCAAGACTGGAAAACTGTATCCAGGCAGCCAGTCCTTGTCTTAAAGGGGACTCACATATTCTAGAAAAGGTCCAAAGGAAGGCAACAAGTATGATACTCGGCATGATTAATTTATCATACGAGGAAAGACTAGACAG